TCTGTCCCGGTTGCCCCTCTTCCAGGCCAGCTCTCTGCTGTGGCCAGGGAGTGCAGTGGAGGATGGCCCAGGTGCTTGGGCCCTGCACCCCATGGGAGACCAGGAAAAGCACCTGGCTCCTGGCTCCTGCCATTGGATCAGCGCGGTGCACTGGCCACAGCACGCCGGCCGCGGCGGCCATTGGAGGGTGAACCAACGGCAAAGGAAGACCTTCCTCTCTGTCTCTCTCTCTCACTGTCCACTCTGCCTGTCAAAAAAATTTAAAAAAATTAAAAAAAAAAAGGTCATCACTTAATCTTTTTTTTTAAACTTTTATTTAATGAATATAAATTTCCAAAGTACAGCTTATGGATTACAATGGCTCCCCCCCCCATTAACTTCCCTCCCACCTGCAACCCTCCCCTTTCCCACTCCCTCTCCCCTTCCATTCACATCAAGATTCATTTTTGTTTCTCTTTATATACAGAAGATCAGTTTATCATACATTAAGTAAAGATTTCAACAGTTTGCTCCCACACAGAAACATAAAGTGAAAAATACAGTTCAGGTGAAGAGTTTCTATGATTTTTTCAGAGAAAGCATTCCATACAAAACAGCTACTCAGCATAGTGGATTAGCACTTGTTTTCTGGGGCAGATTCAAGCCCTGTCAAATATGAGTTTGGATAATATATTTAATCCGTCTGTTTGGATAATAATAGGATCTTCCTCAGAAGGTTTTTTTTTTATCTTATTTTCATCTTTATTTTTAACTCTTAGGAGAGCTTTATTTATTTTTTTATCTTTTTAAGCTGCAGTTTCCTCCCATCAATGGAGGCTACTAGAAACTATCCACTGGGTTTCTTTATGGACTTCATGAGATAGTGTAGGTTTAGCACTGGACACCTGGCATATGGATATTCAAATGTGGTCAGGTTTCTTATTATCACTTTATCAATATGCAATTATCTCATTGTTTGTTTTCTTGCCATTTTATCACTATACTCTTTTATACTTCTAAATTTATTTTCTAGAACTTTCTAAAATATATATTATATTCTTAGATTCTGATCTATACTTTTTTAACTTTTATTTAATGAATATACATTTCCAAAGTACAGCTTATGGATTACAATGCCCCCCCCCCATAACTTCCCTCCCACCTGCAACCCTCCCCTTTCCCAAACCCTCTCCCCTTCCATTCACATCAAGATTCATCTTCAATTATCTTTATATAAAGAATATTTGTTTAGTATATACTAAGTAAAGATTTCAACAGTTTGCACCCACATAGAAATAAAAAGTGAAAAATACTGTTTGAGTACTAGTTAGAGCATTAATTCACATTGTACAACACATTAAGGACAGAGATCCTACATGAGGAGTAAGTGCACAGTGACTCCTTTTGTTGACCTAACAAATTGATACTCTTGTTTATGGCATCAGTAATCACCCTAGGCTCTTGTCATGAGTTGCCAAGGCTGTGGAAGCCTTTTGAGTTCACTGACTCTTATCATATTTAGACAAGGTCATAGTCAAAGTGGAAGTTCTCTCCTCCCTTCAGAGAAAGGTACCTCCTTCTTTGATGGCCCATTCTTTCCACTGGGATCTCACTCGCTGAGATCTTTCATTTAGGTCATTTTTTTTTTTTTTTTTGCCAGAGTGTCTTGGCTTTCCATGCCTGAAATACTCTCATGGGCTTTTCAGCCAGATCCGCATGCCTTAAGGGCTGATTCTGAGGCCAGAGTGCTGTTTAGGACTGATCTATACTTTTGCCCTTTATATTTCACCTCACTCTGTTCTTCATACTTTTTTCACCATGGAAACTCTTAGGATTATGATTTTAATGTATTTCATGATCATTTCAGTATATTTTTTACTGATGTTCTGTGGGAAACTTTTAGGAGCTGATTGATTTTCTATAAAATATTCATATGTGTGTATGTGTGCATATGTAAGCAATAATTATATAAATCATATTTATATGTAATTTAAAAATGCATATGTATACACATATACATATATATTTATAGATATTATGTATAAATATAAGTACATATGTATATATATTATATTTACATTTATTATATTATATTTAGCATATGTATATATTTATACTTTGAAAACTTCAGCATATGAGTCAATCTTTCCCATGGAATGAAAATAAACAGCAATCATCAAAATATTTTTAGAAAAACTATGAAAGAATTAAGGTAATTCAAATTATCATTTTATATTAAGGTATTTATACAAGTATATATGTTCTTCATCATGTCTGAATTTCCAGAATCAGATCATGAAGTTAATCACAGTTGACTTGTGTTTATCTAAGCCTTTCAAACTGAAGAGGTGGCTATTAAACAAAGATGTGGACATAGTAAAATCCTGTCTTGGTGCTAACAAGTCTCTGTAGTACCCTTTTTATTTCCCAGCATTCCTCTTCTGAAGTCTTTCATTCCCTTATCCTGAACTCTACTTTTATACTAACTAGAATTAGTGCTGTTAAACCTAATTTTCACGGGCTGGTGCTGATACTGGCATTCCAGCTGGATGCTGGTTCCAGTCCTGGCTGCTCCACTTCCAATCCAACTCCCTGCTAATGGCCTGGGAAAGCAGTGGAAGATGGCCCAAGTGCTTGGGCCTCTGTACCCACTTGGGAGATCTGGAAAAAGTTCCTGGCTCCTGGCTTTGGATCACCCAGATCAGGCCTCTCTGTTTATCTCTTCCCCTCTTTATAACTCTGCCTCTCAAATAATAAATAAATAAATCTTAAAAAAAAACCACCTAATTTCCATCCATCAGTAAAAGAGACCTATAAACTCTCCACATAAAACATATTAACATCCATAACTATTCTTTTTTTATTTTTTTTTTATTTTTACTGTTCCCGCCTTACTTATGTTTGAACTGTCCAGTCAGGGTGGGTAGGAGGGTATTGCCCAGAGCACCATCATAACTATTCTTTAGTGTTCACATTCCTTTCTATTTTTGTTCTAAGTCTGTGTTATTTACATGAACAAACCACATATTGGTTTCCAGTTTTCATGCCACCATGATAGCTACCCAAAATGTGATGAAAAGAAGAATACCAATGCTAAGGCCTGCTACCAGCATAAGGATAACACTGGAGTATTTGTTTCTGTCACAAAATTTAAAAAACCCTATGTGCTATAATAATTTTGTTTGCTTCAAATTATATTAGCAAATATGTTAAAATTGGGTCAAATATAATTTATAATAAATTATATTCTAGAACTGATAAATTCCATTTAACAAAACTGCATTGGCAAATTATTTCAACTAATTAAAACCCAAAAGGAAAATACAATCAAAGTAAAATAATTACAAGACATTTGGCATTTGCTTAGTAATCTTTTCATTTAGAAGAAGATTTCAATGATGACGTATCAGGGTGCTACAACACAGTCTTACATACAGATACTCATGCAGTATTTTGTATTACTTCACTTAGATGGACTAATCTTGCTCTTTTCACACTTTTTTTTTTTTTGACAGGCAGAGTGGACAGTGAGAGAGAGAGACAGAGAGAAAGGTCTTCTTTGCCATTGGTTCACCCTCCAATGGCCGCCGCGGTCAGCACACCGCACTGATCCGAAGCCAGGAGCCAGGAGCCAGGTGCTTCTCCTGGTCTCCCATAGGGTGCAGGGCCCAGGTACTTGGGCCAACCTCCACTGCATTCCCTGGCCACAGCAGAGAGCTGGCCTGGAAGAGGGGCAACCGGGACAGAATCTGGCACCCCAACTGGGACTAGAACCTGTTGTGCCGGCGCCGCAGGCGGAGGATTAGCCTAGTGAGCCGCGGCGCCAGCTCTTTTCACACTTAAAGGGAAATTTAGGTCTTTTAAATTTTAAATTTGATTCAGGAGTCATAAAGTCAAAAACAAGCTTTGTGATGTCATTGTGACCAAATATGCTTATTATCTCAGTGTTCCCTCACATCCACTCCCCAGGATTCTTGGCTTTGTTCTATGCCCCAAGAGCTGACATCTATGCATGCTATCCTTAGAATTTCCTGTTGAGATGGGTCAGTAGGATGCTATGGCCAAATTTTTAATATGGGAAGAACAGATGCCAAGGGGCCTTTAGAATAAGCCATTTTTTTTTTTTTTGACAGGCAGAGTGGACAGTGAGAGAGAGAGACAGAGAGAAAGGTCTTCCTTTGCCATTGGTTCACCCTCCAATGGCCGCCGTGGCCGGCGCACTGCGCTGATCCGATGGCAGGAGCCAGGTGCTTTTCCTGGTCTCCCATGGGGTGCAGGGCCCAAGCACCTGGGCCATCCTCCACTGCACTCCCTGGCCACAGCAGAGGGCTGGCCTGGAAGAGGGGCAACCGGGACAGAATCTGGTGCCCCGACCGGGACTAGAACCCGGTGTGCCGGCGCCGCTAGGCGGAGGATTAGCCTAGTGAGCCGCGGCGCTGGCCTTTTTTTTTTTTTTTTTTTTTTTTAGAATAAACCATATTTTTATGTGGAGATCCTGGGTCCCACAAGTGGCCTCAGGAAGCAGAGCCTCAAAATGAGATTCCAGGATTGGGATGTTCACATATTTGAGAACAAGGATAACTTCCTTGCTGGACAAGAAATGGCATCACTTTATTTACATTATGGTGTGCCATGAGGTTCAGGGAGAAGGACAAGTGGTGAGAGCTCAAATGGCTGTGGTGTCTCGTTTTTATAGCAACAATGAGGTGGATTGTGGTGGTAGACCAGTTAGCTCTAGCTGCTCTTGGAGGTTTACACAAAGAAAGGGATATATTTAGAAGTCTAGAATCTCAGCTCAAAGCACTAGTTGATAGCAAATAGTAAGATCTGGGTAGAGTCAAACACAATAAGGGCTCAATTTTTGTAGGAAAGAAGGCTTAGATAACTCTATCAAAGAATTCTGTTTAGTTAAGTTTCAGGCAGAATAAGGCAATGACTAAAAGGAATCTATTATTATTATTAATCAATTTATGCCTTGTGACTAGTCACCGAGCAGTCATTTCTAAGTTAATTGTTTTTACCTCTCTCCACTTTGCATTTTATGAAGAGGACTAGTGGTGGCCAGTGTTACAAATTAGTTTCCAGCTGCAGGCATGACAGAACTGACATCACTCAACGATGATACTGTGACTGATGAGAGCTCATTTCTTCTGTGTGGAGGATGAAAAGTTCTTAATACAGATAAAGGTCAGGTGGATGCTGAGTGGTGACAGAGGTGGCTGTGCTGGTTACTCTCTGTTTGCTCCCCCGACACGTGCTTTGATCCATACCCTGGCCTTTACTCTGTGTGCCCCAGAACACTGACCTCTATGAATTCCACTATCAGGGTTCTCTTGCTCATTGTCAGTTGGTTTGGTCATAGCAAAGCAGCAGCATGACATTGGGAGGTGTGAAGAGAAAGGGGTTGGGCTAGGTTTTTCCTTTTCTGCTACCTTTTTGCAACCAGTTTTGGTAGGAGCTGCATTTTATATCCAGCTTCCAGCAATTCTTCTGTGGCTATGGCCTTTTCTCAGGTTCTGAAAACACTATTCCTGGTTATTGCCCCTTCAGTTGTGGGGTGGCAGTGATTGCCCACTATTGCTGGTCCCCGGGTATTATAGCAAGATGGTTTTGTTCCGTCACCTTGCAAATACTTCTTTAGATAATACTTTGATTTAGCTCACTCAGTTACAGCCTTTGTATTAGCTGTTTTTTCCCTCCAGCTATTGAATGATACACCATAGAAGGAAGGAGAAATTGAGAGGGTTGAGGTAATGGCAGTCATTGACATTGGGATGTGGCTGTAACCACTAAGAAAGAGGCTTCTAGGAAAGAAGAACCTAGAATTCAGGAAATATCAGCACAGCCAACAAGTGCCATGACAGATAACCAATCGTCGTCATTACAGAGCAATGGGGGAGGGGCTGGTGCTGTGGCACAGTGGGCTAAAGCCCTGGCCTGAAGTGCCGGCATCCCATATGGGCGCCGGTTCTAGTCTCGGCTGCTCCTCTTCTGATTCAGCTCTCTGCTTTGGCCTGGGAAAGTAGTAGAAGATGGCCCAGGTCCTTGGGCCCCTGCACCTACATGGGAGACACGGAAGAAGCTCCTGGCTCCTGGCTTCGAATCGGTGCAGCTTCGGCCATTGCAGTCATCTGGGGAGTGAACCAGAGGATGGAAGACCTCTCTCTCTCTCTCTGTCTCCACCTCTCTCTGTAACTCTGTCTTTCAAATAAATAAAATAAATCTTAAAAAAAAAAAAAACAACAACAACAGAGTAATGGGGAAGAAGTAGGAGTGTGAATTGACAGAAAAATTGGAGTATTTAGGGAGCCAAGATTCCAGGGGAATGTGGTCTTTGGGAGATCCTAGTATCCAGGTAAACAGATGAGAGAATTAAGGTTTCCAGGATTTCAGGGCTTCAGATTAGAATTCCAGTCTCTGGCACTTGGCAAATGCATGAAATGTCCCTTCTAGATCATTCCATGTCTGAACAGATTATCAACCACTGGTCACCTGCTCCCATATTTGTTTGCTTATTCTTACATTTATCAAGTATTTACTGAGCCTTTTCTGTATTATAGGCCCTGGACCAACCTCCAGGATAAGATACATACCCTGATCTCATGGGGCTCATAACCTACCAGGAGGTGACGGCAGGTATGAATGTAACTGCAATCATTGTTACTTGACATTTTTATCTGTGTATATTCTGCAGATACTGCCAACCAAATATGGCTGGAACTCAATCTATTTTAAAAGACATATCTTCTTCTCCTCCTCTCCACCTCATGATTAGCACTGCTGTGTCCTTGTCCCAAGGAAAAATGATGTGAATCCCTTTAATAACAGGCCCTGGTTCGTTCCTTGATCTGACAGAGTTGATCATCCCTCTTTTTATCTACTTTATATATTATATTATATATTAGAGAGCATTTTTCTTCTTTTTTCTTTTTGCAAACTGAAGGGAGAGCACTTTTCTCGCTTATGATTCTGATGCACATTCAAGGCTGGCGACTGATATATTAGGTATAAATTCATCTTCAGCTGAGGTCAGACTTTGTTCTTAGATAATGGAGTAAGCAAATCTATCTTGTTAAGTGGTGTAAGGCGTGGCAGCCAGGTGGTCTTTGATAGAGATGTCAAAGATACAGTGAGGCTGGCTATTCAGGGGGGGATTCTCCCTGATTGTTATCAGATTTTTACTCCTTAGGGACTGACTTGCAAACCGAGCTCAAAAGAGATTGACAAGACCAAATGCAAATTTGTTATTTGTTTGCACTAAGAGGCACGTGCACTACTTGCAATGCATCCTATCCTGTGTGCAAATGTCTGTTTTAGCCAGATGCAACCATTTCTTGAGAAGTAGATATAGCATCAAGTGAAAACAGTTCAGCTGTGGCCCCTCCTTTGCAAGGGCATTGTGGGCACTAGAAGCAGCAGGGAACCTTAGTGTGTTCTAAGTAGAACACGGAAAATCACACTTGCAACCAGGAAGAATTTCTGTGTAAGCGCTTTAGGAAAGTTACCTAAACAGATATCAGAAGCATGGGGCCTGTATTTCCAGGTCTCTAACAAGTTATTACTGTGTATCTTTACTGCTGATTTGAAATTCACAGCTTTGTATACTTGATTAAAGAAGATCTTCCAGGTAGTGTTTGAGGCATTCCAGATTTTAATGTGCCCCTGTATCTCTCATGTAGTGACGTGGCTACTCTGTTGGCCTGGCAGAGGATTCGCTGTCCTGGGCAAGGCTATGTTCACTGATTTTTAGATTTCATGCATTTCAGTGCTTCTGTGGTTATATTATTGCTTCAAGCAAGAAATAAGCAATTATTTTACAGTCCTTTACCCCATAGAAGTCTTCTTGAGGAGACAAAGGAGTCTCCTGGTGGAGTCCCAGGAAATTCTCTTTAGCATCTTCAGTGATTCATTCAAAACATTGTCTGTCGTTGGCCACTCCTGCATTCCATTTCACCTGTTTCATTTCTGAGTGACATTTTCCAACTTTTTCTCACATTCTTGCAGTTGGCATGCCCAATGTACCCTGTAACATAACAATAATATCATTTTCAGTGTGATAGTCACCAGTTCTCTGATCAGCTTTTTGTATGTCTACTTAACAAGCGATCATGTGTTACAGACAGGGATCAAGCAGTAAAAAACAAGTTTGTTTCCACCACATTATTTTCACATGCTTTTGTAAGTGAGATACTCCTATTAAATGGGCCTTTAGGAGTTACCGGCTCTTTCTCCAAAACCTATAGGCATAATAACTGTATGCTGCGGCTTGGAACAGAGGCCTTGTGAAAGTAGAATCTAATGGCTGCAGTGTTATCTGCAGTCCAGATGGATTTCATAGCTCCCAGTGAGGCTGTGCTCAGCTTCAGCTTTTCCAGATGTTTAACACAAACGATCTTCTGAAGATCAATCTTGAGAGGTAATCTTGACTTTGTATTCCTGCCTATATAGTTTTTGAATGTTTCCACCTCTTTGTTCATTGTGTGCTTTTATTTTATTTTGTGCCCTTAGACAGTGATACATGAACTATCACCCCAGCATTTGAGGACAGTTATTGTATTTTGAGACCATTTAGTCTGCTAGGGCTGCTGAGACAAAAAACCACCAATTGTGTGGCTTCAACAACAGAAATTTCTAGTTCTGGGCATTAGAAGTCCAAAATCAAGGTGTGCTCTGTGGGAGGATCCTTCCTTGCCTCTTCCAGCTCCTGGTGGTGTCTGACATCCCTTGGTTTGTGCCAGCATAACTCCAGTCTCCATCTCTGTCTTCTCATGGCTTTCATCTCTATCTTTGTGTGTACTTTTCTCTTACATGTTTAGTTTAAATGGATAGAGAGCCTACTCAAAGTCCACATAGTCTTATCTTGACGCTTACCTGAATAATATCTGCAAAGATTTTATTTCCAAATAAGGTCACTTCACAGGTTCTTGGTGGACATATTTTGGGGGCAAACTATTAACTCATTATGAGGCCTTTGAACTCCATTAGGTGCTAGAAACAGTTTCCTTCCTGTTGAGAGCTGGTATACCAGTGTTTTCAGCTGGTGATATGACCATGCCTGCAAAAACTATGGAGCTTCCCCAGCAGCAGAGAAGTAAGGACTTTAGCAGAGTGCTTAGAGGCCAGGAATGTTGCTAAACGTTCTACAACATATAGGAACCCCCATCCCCAACAAAGAATGTTGAGAACCAAAACTTCAGTGGTGCCAAGATTGAGAACTCCTGCCTTTTCTTCCCCTTGGTCTTGCCAGTCACCAGGTCTTCCTTCTTTCTGGCCTGTGATGCCCACGTGGTTTGGTACATATTCTCTCTCTCTCTCTCTCTCTCTCTCCCAACTCCTGCCCTGTCCCATGTCTTGCAACTCTTTCATTGTATCATCTGGGATTCAAGGTCCATCATCAGTAAAGCAGTCTGTTTCTTCACTATCTTATCTGCATGGTTTCTTCACTTTCCTGCTTTCACCTAACCTGGCTTCCCCAGACAACATGTTTTCCCCTGCAACCAATTAAACTAGTGGATTTTTTTTTTTCTCTGCCATATTCATGATATTATGAGGAATGGGGCAGTACCATGTGTTTGACTTGCTCTTCTCTGATGCTTCCAAACCCATACCACTCTTTCTCTAGTACTTTGGTTTCAACTACTCTATGAGGACAAAAAGTCTCCATCTTTAATTTTCCACAGGTTCATACTTCCTTGTGTCTGGTTTTCAGTCAGTCATTGAAATATGCCCTTGTTTCTTCCCATTTTCTGTTCATATCCGTGTTCTGCTTTCAGTTACTTTAAAAAAAAAACCCACAATTGAAGTTCACCTTTACCTACTCTGGGTCTTACCTTTGAGAAACTGAACATGGCTGGTGAAAAGCATGCTGCCCTATCTCACCTTTAATGTCATAGAAATACCTCCATTGGACCCCAGAAAGCTTTCCATTAATTTTGTTGTGTGTTTAATTCTTTTTCCTGTACTCCTCGATGAGTGAGTCTCAAGGTATGGTTCTTACTTGTAGCATCAAATTTACCTGGGAGGAATGTTAGAATGTGCAATCTTGTTCCCTGTCCCAGATTCACCAAACCAGAGACTCTGGGAATGAGGCCAGAGTGCACAACCCTTCTGGCTATTCCAGTGCACACTCAGACTGGAAAACCTGGGTTCCAGCCACTGCTGAACAGTTAAATATGGTTCACTGGTTTTTAAACAACTTATTTGATACATAACTCAAATGCCAGACAATTTACCCATTTAAAGTGTACAACTCATGAGCTTCCAGTATATTCACAGATTTGTGTAATCATCACCACGAACAATTTTAGGACATTTTTGTGACCAAAATAAGAAATTCCATGCCCCTTATCAGCATCTCTCAGTCCCTTTAGCTCTTCTTCCCTCTGGCAATCACTAATCTACTTTCTCGTTGTGTACACTTGTCTATGCTGGAAATTTCATATAAATGAAATTGTATAATATGTGGCTTTTTTCCCCAAGAAGGACCCCCTAAATATGACTAGTAGCAGAGGAACTGACACAATTTTCTCTGCTTATTTCTGCTTATTTCATCTTATCATGGCAGGCTCTAGGGTGTAAAGGTGCCGGGGTTGTGGGGAGAGGTGGTTGAGCAATCCTCTAGGACATCACTATTTACACCCAGAATCTGGTGGCAGGAATTCCACTTTAGATTTGCAGGGGTATGGTTCCTGCTCTTCCTTACCTGAAAGGATTTTTAAACTCCTTGAAGATCAATAGGGTATGTTTCGATCCCAACATACTTTGGGAATTAGGCAACATCAGCAGTTGCATTTAAAAACTTTTCTTTCCTAAAGTAATTCTTATTTTATATAACACTTGAATTTGTATTTTCTGTCAAAGAAAAAGTTCTATTATAATAAAAACAATAATTTACTAGGGCAGGTAGATGATAGGCGATATTGTAACATTCATGCAACTTTTAGAGAAACAGAACAAATTTAGGAATTTGAATTTGAATTGAATTTGAAGTTGAATTCTTTTTCCTACTTCTCCCAAGTAACTACTTCTTTTCCATTATGCTTCCGAGTGCAATGAAAGGTGAGGGGCAGATGAAACAGAATAAAATAGTAAGCCCCAAGTTCACCTCATATATGCTGAGAACATCATTTAGTCTTTTAACAACCTTGTACATTCCCCACTATCCTGATAGGAGAAAGTGAGGTGAAGAGACCAAGAGACGTGGTAGTGAGTGGCAAAGGAAAGATTAACTCTGGGTCCCGTTTACTGCAGTGCTCAGGTGCCTGGCTCTTCCTCTCCAGGACCTCTCAGGAATAACAGGAGAAAATAAGGAACAACTAAGGAAGAGAGAAGGAAAGCAGGCAGGAGACAGAGAAGAGCTTGAGCAGCCTAGACTCAGCTTCCCAACTTTAGCATCCTGTGTGGGTGGAAGTGGTCTCCTGTATTGAAGGGAACTGGGGGCTTGAATGTAGGAACTGACTGGGGGTGTATCCAAGGCTTTTTCCCTTTCTCATTCATTGTCTATTTTCATTGTGAAGAAATTTCTGAGTCTTGTGACTCTTATTACACTACAACGAAAAAATGGTTTAAACTCCCCAAATGAAAGAACATTATTTCTAATGCATGTATTTTGCAAAATTCCTAAACACCACGAGCTT